ATGTCCCGGGAGGCCCGCGATGGGATCAAGCCTCACATTAGGAGGCTACTGGAGCAGGGCATTCTAACTCCCTGCCGGTCCCCCTGGAACACTCCCCTGCTGCCAGTCAAAAAGCCCAGAACCAATGACTATAGGCCGGTCCAGGACCTCCGGGAAGTCAATAAGCGGGTTGAGGACATACACCCCACGGTCCCCAATCCCTATAACCTCCTGAGTGGACTGCCACCTGACTATGTTTGGTACTCAGTCCTGGATTTAAAGGATGCCTTCTTCTGCCTGCGGTTACACAAAGACAGTCAGCCACTGTTTGCCTTTGAATGGCAGGATGCAGACCTGGGAATCTCGGGACAACTTAGACTGGGGGGAGAGCCAGAAAAAAAAAAGCCTTCATGGACATCAAAAAGGCTCTGCTCTGCTCCCCAGCTCTGGGGTTACCTGATCTGACTAAACCCTTTGACTTATTCGTGGCTGAGCAAGAGGGTTATGCGAAGGGGGTCCTAACTCAAAAACTTGGGCCCTGGAGACGACCGGTCGCCTACCTATCTAAGAGATTAGATCCCGTAGCGTCAGGATGGCCCCCATGTCTCCGCATGATCGCCGCCACCACAGTTCTCATAAAGGACTCTCACAAATTGACTTTGGGGCAGCCTTTGACTATTTATGCCCCCCATGCTATGGTTATCAGACAGCCACCGGGCCGCTGGCTCACCAATGCCAGGATGACTCATTACCAGACTTTGTTGCTGGACAAGGACCGAATTCACTCCGGGGCTCCGGTGACCCTAGACCCCGCCTCGCTACTTCCCCCTTCCTGGGGAAGCAGAGACTCATGACTGCTTGCAGGTCCTGGCTGAGGTCCATGGGACGAGAGCTGACCTCACGGATCAACCCCTTCCCAACCCTGACCTTGTCTGGTTCACGGACGGAAGCAGCTTTGTACATCAAGGGGAGCGGGAGGCCGGTGCTGCAGTGACAACTGAGTCAGAAACAATTTGGGCCGAGGCCTTGCCGCCAGGAACATCAGCCCAACGAGCAGAACTGATTGCCTTAACACAGGCCCTGAGACTGGCAGAAGGTAAGAAACTCACTGTTTACACAGACAGCCGCTATGCTTTTGCCACCGCTCACATCCATGGTGAAATTTATAGGCGAAGGGGGCTATTGACCTCAGAGGGCAGAGACATTAAAAATAAAAAGGAAATCCTGGCCCTCTTAGAGGCTCTGCACCTCCCAACCGCCCTCAGTATCATATATTGCCCAGGGCATCAGAAAGGCGAGAGCCCAGTTGCCCGGGGAAACCGGAGGGCAGACCTGGCCGCCCGGGAGGCTGCCCTGGCCTTGGAAAGCAGCAGTCACCTCCTTCAGGCAGCTGTAGTCCCTGTAACTAATGAGGCTTCCGAGAAGACCTCCCCGTCTTGGGACTATGAGATAAAAGACATCAAGGCCATGAAAAGACTGGGGGCGACCCGAGTACATGATGGTCTCTGGACCTATCAAGGAAAAACTGCCCTTCCCCGCCTAATGACTAGATATCTGGTTAACAGCCTACACAAACTCACTCATTTGAGCTCCAGGAAAATGCGAGAACTATTAGCCCGGGAAGAAAATACTCGCCACCTGTTGGGAATAGAAGAAATAATAAAACAAGTGACTGAGCAATGTGACGCCTGCGCCCGCGTCAATATGACCAGGCTAAAGCTACCCATGGTGACTCGAGCTCGGGGGCACCGGCCTGGGATGCACTGGGAAATAGATTTCACAGACCTCATGGTTTTTGTTGACACCTTCTCGGGATGGACTGAAGCCTACCCCACCAAGCACGAGACGACGAAGGTGGTCACCAAGAAACTTCTTGAAGAAATCTTCCCCCGTTACGGAATGCCACAGGTATTGGGGACAGACAACGGGCCTGCCTTTGTTTCTCAGGTAAGTCAGTCTGTGGCCACCTTGTTGGGGATTAATTGGAAATTGCATTGTGCTTACTGACCCCAAAGCTCAGGACAGGTAGAGCAAATGAATAGAACCATTGAGGAGACTCTAACTAAATTATCGCTTGTAGCTGGCACTAAAGACTGGGTCCTCTTGCTCCCCCTTGCCCTCTATCGTGCCCGGAATACACCGGGCCCCCATGGCCTCACCCCTTTTGAGATTTTACATGGAACCACCATTCCCTTTGTTCAGTTCTTTGACCAAGATATTTCTGACTATGCCAATTCCTCCTCTCTTCAAGCTCACCTGCAGGCACTCCAGCTGGTCCAGCAGGAAGTCTGGAAGCCCCTGGCCCAAGCCTACCGAGACCAGAGGAGACACCCTATCGTCCCCCACTCCTATTACGTGGGAGACAGCGTTTGGGTCCGACGCCACCAGGCTAAGAACCTTGAACCCCGCTGGAAGGGACCATACACGGTCCTGTTGACCACCCCTACTGCTCTCAAGGTGGATGGGATTGCTGCTTGGATACACGTCTCGCTTGTGAAAGCTGCCTCCCCTGAGGATCCGGACCCAGGATGCAGGGCCCAACGCACTCAAAATCTTCTAAAGATAAGACTCTCCCGAGTTGTTTGATTGCTTTTTTATGCTTCATGCTTACCTTTCCCCTTATTGAGGGAAGTCCTCACTGAGTATTCAATATTACTTGGGTGATAACCAATCTGGGGACGGGATATACTGCAAACCTGAGTTCCCAACTTGGGGCTCTGACAGACACCTTCCCCACCCTATATTTTGATCTATGTGATCTGGTGGGGGAAGATTGGGACCCCTGATCATTATACTTTTGGTTCTGATGTTTGGGCCATACATCTTAAACAGACTGACCCAGTTCATAAAAGAAAGGATACAATCACTGGTCTTGACTCAACAATACCAGCAGCTAAAGCAAAGGGATCTCGAGATGGCAGAAACCCTTGAATGAAAGATTCCATTCAGTTACAAGAGCAATGGGGGAATGAAAGACCCCGGCCCAGTCTACACACATAGGCAAGCTGAGGCTCATGGAAAATTCCTTTCCCCCACAGCTCAGCCAAATAGTCATTTTTTTATCAGAAGGGAGCTCTGCCCAAGGACATGGGCTTTGGGTGTCTTCTGTGACCAGATGGCCAGCCCAGCAAGATTGGGCAAGCACAGAGACCTATTGTTCCTCAGATAGGGCCAAGGCCGAGACTTGAGTTCTGAGAGAAACCTCAATTGCCCTCGTTCTGAGCCCCAGCCTCATTTAAATTGCCCAATCAGGGACCTGTAACTAGGCTTCTCGCTTCTGTACTGCGCTTTTTGCTATAAAAGAACCCCTGAGTCCCCAGCTCGGGGCTCTCAGTTCCTGAGACTGAGATGCCCCGGGTACCCGTGTATTATCAATAAAGCCTCTTGCTGTTGCATCCAAGCTCGTGGTCTCGGTGTTCCTTGGGTTCGGGTCTCCCTCCCGTGAAAGTCCCCCGCCTGGGGTCTTTCAAGTGAAGAGAAAGCAAATTGCAGTAACAGCACTGCTACCAGAAAAAAAGACATAAACATAGAATAAATATAAAAACAAATTAGAGCCTGCAAGATGACCCAAAGGATAAAGGAGCTTACTGCCAGTATACTGATCTGAATTCTATCCTCAATACCCAAATGGTAGGGGAACCAACCCCGACAAGTTGTCCTCTGGCCTCCACAATAGTGTGCCATAATGTATAGAGGGACACACACATGCACACACGAGGGACACACACACACACACACACACACACGCACACACGCACACGCACGCATGCACACACGCACACTAAACGTAAACAAATAAACGAATTTAATAAATAAAAATTAAAAAAATGTACACCAAAGAACATGTGAGTAAAATTTCAGGTAACAATTAATATTATGCTAGGTGTAGCAGCACACACCTTTATGAAACAAAAACAGGCAAATATTTGTAAGCAAGGCCAGTCTGGTCTACATAATGAGTTCCAGGACAGCCAAGGCTACATAGACAAAACCTGTCTCAAAAAGCAAAGTAATAATAATGGTAACAATAATAGTAACCATACTTAGATAATTAAAAGTAAACAAGAGCAGAGCAAGCAAACTGGAAAACAGGTGTGGTGATTTAAGTAGGACTGGTTCCCAAAGACTCATGTATTTGAATGCTTGGCCCATGGGGGTGGCACTATTAGAAGGTGTGGCCTTTTTGGAGTAGATATGACCTTGTTGGAGGAAGTTTGTTACTGTGGATGTGAGCTTTGAGGTCTCATATGCTCAAACTATGCCCAGTGTAGCAGAGTCTCCTTCTGTTGCCTGTAGATTAAGACAGAACTTTGAGCTCCTTGTCCTGCACCATGTCCACCTGCATGTCACCATGCTTCTTCCCATGACAACAGTGGCAGCCCCTGTTAATGTTTTCCTTTGTAAGAGTTGCCAAAGTCATGGTGCCTTTTCACAGCAATTCAACCCAAACTAAGACAAAAGGGTTAAATAAAAGGAAAATAAAAACAAAAATAGAAAAAAGAAAGGAATACATGAGAGGAGAAGAGAAAAACAGATGAGATAATGGATCTGGTGACAACATAAAAAAATACAAGGCTAAATAAGCCTGTAAGGAAGAATAAAATTATACACACAAAATAACTGAATAAAAAAGGAAATAAAGTAAAAACACTAGCTATGAAGTAAAGAGGTTGGAACCAATGAAGGATGGTCATTATCAGTGTGTTGAGAGAGTCTAATGTAAATCAGTCCTCTGTTCTCCCCTTATCAGATAGTGCTGTATGTTGACTAATTGCTATCCTCATCAGTTATGTGCCAGTAATACGGCAGCATTCATTTAAAAACTTGCATGTTTCCAGGTAAGGGAAACACACATGAGAAACAACCAAAACCTGGTGGTGGGTCGATATGGCTAATTCTTTCCAGAAATTGCAAAAATCGAGTCTTGTCAGGGCTCGATAGGTGGTGAAAAGCATTCAACATAACCAACACGATGAACTATCCTCTTGCTGACCTCCCTCGTTCAGTATGCATTCACCCACCTGGAAGGCTCTGGATAGAGGCTTCCACTATAGTCCATGGCTCAAATTCATGCTCCAACTTGAAGATCAACTCAGGTTTGGTCATGCAGTATCCTGAAGTGGGAAATAATAAACAAATTTTGCATAAGTGTTAGGTTCAGTCCATTAACAAAAGACAACAGATCTGATCACTGAATCAGAAACTTTCATTAGGACATTAGAGGGTTTACACAAACATTCTTCACTGACTGGAATATCACCTTAAATCAGCATAACGGTTTCCAGAAAAAAGAAACAGAGGAGAATAAAAGAGAAACACAAAAAATTTAAACAAAAAAAAGATATTTGTGATGGTTTGGAAGAAAATGGCCCCCAAAAGAACTGGCACTATTAGGAGGTATGGCCTTGTTGGAAGAAGTGTGTCATTGCAGGGACAGGCTTTGAGATCTCTTTTGTTCAAGCTTCCTTCAGTGTGACTGTCAGTCTCATTTCCTCCAGCACCATGTCTGCCTGCATGCTGCCATGCTCCCTATCTTGATAGGGACTGAACCTCTGAAACTATAAGCAAGGACCCTCAATTAAATGTTCTCCTTTGTAAGAGTTGCCATGGCCATGATGTCTCTTCACAGCAATCGTAACTCTAAGAAAGTACTTAAAATGAGTTATACAGGAGAGAATAATCATAAAAACAACCAGCCAAGGAACTGAGGAGATAGCTCAGTGGTTAAGAATACTTGATACTTGTACAGACCCGGGTTCAGTTCCAGCACCAATATTGGGTGGCACATACCCACTTATAACTCTAGTTTCAGGAAATCTAACACTCTCTTCTAACTTCTGCAGGTACTGCATACACACATCATAAATAAAAATGAATTTTAAAAAATTCTTTAAATAAACTAAACTACTGGGTATGGTTAAGCAAATATTTAATTCCAGCATTTGCAAGACAGAGGCAGGCAGGTCATGTTGAGTTAAAGATCAATCTGGAAAAAAAAGCAGTCTGGTTTGTAATGAGTCCTAGGCCAGTCAGGGCCATATAGTGAAACACTTTCTCAAATCAATAAATTAGATATCCCAGGCAAATTTTTAAAAATTGAAAGAATATAAGGATAATTTAAAACACATCACTGAAAAGCAAATATTCCTTCCATGTGTATTGTATAAAAAAGACAAGGCCATCAAAAAATTATCAGGAAATATAAGGCATACATCAACAAATGACTGTGTCACATATACAGGAAAAATAGCAAGATGAAGAGAATTCTAAACACTTTAAGAAGAAAGCCAAATTTGCATATACAATAACACACACTAGAGGTACAGCCATGCATTTTAGCTGTCAACATATTCACCAGCATTACAATGACTTCAAAGCCACGTATTGACCCAGCAACCAAATCTCAGGTACAGTAATCCCAATGAACAGAGGCACAAAGAAATCAACATAGCACATAAAGTAATTAGAAACTATGGTCATGTGTGAGTCATACTAGGAATGCAGCACTCACTACATGGAAATTTGAAACTCTTATATCCATGTACTACATAATATACAGCAGTATTTCAAGATACAGTGGCATCTGACATTAGTCACAGAAGTCAGGAGTCAGGGCACACAGATTTCTGTGAGTTCCAGAGCAAACAGATTTGCAGAGTGAGACCCTGTCACAACAAAAACAGTCATATGAATACAGTGGATGCATAAAAGGTATTTTTATCTTCCGGTGAAAAAGACCTCAGTAAACCATGACTATATATAACAAACCCACTTCCCACAGCTAGGGCAGTGGATCATGCCTGAGATGATTTTCTCTTGGAACACAGCAAGATACGCTCTTTCATCACTCTTAGTTTATGAAGACATATAAACCTGATAAGGTAAAGAAACAACATCCAAAGGAGAAAGGGGAATGGAAAAGCGAGGCTATCTATAAATGATGCTATAAAGAGAAAACACTAGACCCTACACAGAATGTTTGATGACATAACATGTGACAAAACAATACGTCACACATCAAACTTTACACCTTCTTTGTTCAACAAGAACAAATTTGCTGAGAAATTCAGAAAAATCCCCTTAAAGAGGGCCACTCAGCACTAAGCATGGTAGTGCATGCATTTAATCCCAGTACTCAGAGTCAGAGCAAGTCACATTTCTATGAGTTTGAGACCAGCCTGGTCTATACATCAAGTTCCAGACCAGCCAAGTGCAACCCTGTCTAAAAAAACAATAAACAAACAAAAAACAGAAAGCAAAGAAAAAAGAAAAGGTTCAATACTGGGGCTGGGGAGATGTTTCCGTGGCTAAGAGGACTTATTGCTCTTCCACAGGATGTGGGTTCAATTCCCAGCACCTGCATGATGGCACACAGCCATCGTTAACTTCAGTTTTGGAGGATCCAACACCCACTTTTGGCCTCCCAGAGAATCAGGCTTACATGTGGTATATAGATACACAAGCATACAAAACTCATAAGCATTACAAAATAGATTTTATTTAAGATGGTGGCAGCTGCCAGGACGTTTGGAGCCAAGGATCAGCTCCAAAGAGCCTGAGAGACCCATGAAGACTGAGGGCAGACTTGCAGCAGAGGACTCTGAAGAGCCCACAGCATCTCCTGATGACAACAAAAAGGCAGATATTATGTGAGATGCTTTTGTAAAGTGGTCTCATGAAACTAGAAAGAAAAGATGGTGGAGCAGAGACACATGATGAAGAATGCCAAAAGTAGAGATGAGAGATGTAGAGTGAAGGGAATGGCATGGGAGTGTGGCCCCAGTAGACAAGGAACTGTTGCGCTGATTAGGGCTCATCCTCTGCCCACTGTTGCAGTGCACTGGGGAGCATTGCTGAGTAGTGCTGGCAGGTTAGTATGCAGCAGCCTGGAGCTTTCACAGGCTGTGCTTCCAAACTCACTGCCCAGACACACAACTGCCTGGACTGAGCAATGATAGGATATTCAAGATGAAGAATGGTTCATTTTCTGGAATGAGCCTCCTTGAAAGGCCTCTATGGTCTATGCTGCCAAGATTTTACATGTAATTTTCAGCATTGCTGAAAATAAGTCCAAACAAACAAACATTAGAAGTATTGAACCTTTAAAAGTTTTCTTCCAGATTTATTTCATTCTGTGTGTATGAGGATTTGGCAGCACAAACCATGGAGCTCTTTCAAGGAGCCTGCATGATTGTATATGCACTAAATGCATGCCTAGTGCCCATATGGATCACAAGAGGGTATCAGATACCCTGGAACTGAAGTTAGAGATCATTGGAAGACACCATGTGGCTGCTGGGAACCAACTTGAATACTTAGTGAGAGCGACAAATGTTCTTACATGAACTGAGATCTTGAGCATGGTTTGAGCATATATGAGACATCACAGCCTGCAACCACACTGACACACTTCGTCCAACAAGGCCATACCCACTCCAACAAAGCCACACATCCTAATAGTGCCACTCCCTCTGAGCTTATAGGGGGCAATTACATTCAAAGGGCCACAGCAGTGTTTTAATATATGTGAAAAAGGACAAACAGAAGCAAAAGTCAAAAGGATTACATGAATCTCAAAATCACCTCTGTAGAAAAGTAGGCAACTAATAAAAGAAATCAACCTACAGGGTGATAAACTACTTTAGCAAACTATTCATTTAACAAGACATTCATTTACAGAATAATGACCTTTAACACCTAAAGTGAAGAAACAGTCAATATGCTTAAAAGTAGGCAAATGTCTTGAAGAGATACTTTTCAAATACAGATAGTTGACAAATATATAAAAAAAGTTCTGTGCACCAGTTATCATGAAAATATCAATCACAACCACAAGGAGGTGTTGCTTCTCTCATCTTAGCATGGTCACTTAAGATGCACAGTTACAAATGTGAAAAGATCCCATAAAATGGTGATATTAATACAACCTAGTACAGATAATATGAAACACAATATAATGTAGTCTCAAAAAACTAAACGGAACTACAGCATGATGCTACTATTGCACTGTTGGATGAACATTCAAGGGAAGTAAGAACTATGCAGAGAAATCTGTAGCTATCCATGTGTTACAATGTCATTCACAAAAGCCAAGGTGAGTATCCATCAATGGAGGAAACTGGAGAACATATGGCACATAGACTTAACTAAGGCTGCAGGAATGAATGAAAATTCTTATAGTGACATGGACATCACTGGAGGGTGTTACTGAATCTATCATGCTGCTATTTCCTCTTAGCTTAAAGCCAATCAACCGTGGGGACTTGTAGCAGACACTGGCCCATGGTCATGACAACAGAGGAGTATACAGCAGATCTCTGGGTCTAGGTTGATGATAATATAATGAGTCTCTTGAAATTCACACATAGGGTTGTTATAAATCCAACTAATATTCCATTCAGGACTGGCTTTCAGCCAACTATGTGGCACAAGTAGATATAATCTGAGTATGGTTGGGACTGTTTGGTGGTACAACTGACTAAATGCCCTGGTTCTCTAAGAATCCTATTAATTTCATTTATTCTCTATGCTGGAATTGATGGAATCTTTCTTTGGGCTTATCTACTCACTTCATAGTTGTGAATAGATGTTTCTTTACTGTAGTAGAAATCTAGTAGAGTCATTGTTATCTAGGCTAAACATTAGAATAAAATAATTGCTTTTAACGGTATTTACAGTAAACATCAAAATGAAGTAGTTGTTTGCTGGAGGTATTTAGACCTTGGAGAAATCACTGTAGAAAACTGTTGGGGGTATTTTGACCATACTCTGAACCCCAATTCATTAATTAAATAAAATCAACCTTGAATTTGCACTGATTAAATTAAATTAACTGCTGTGGAATAATTCTTTTGTACACTGTAAAGATTGGTCACTCAAATTGGTTTAAAAAAAGCTGACTGGCTGGTAGCCAGGGAGGAAGAATAGACAGGACAACCAAACTATGGACACTGGAAAAAAGGGTAAAGTCAAAGAAGTCATTAGCTAGATGGAGAGGAAGCAAGACATGCCAGAGAGGTAAATGTCAGGAGCCTCGGAGCAGCACATAGATTAACAGAAATGAGTTAATTTAAGTTTTAAGAGCTAGTTAGTGATAACCCTGAGCTACTGGTTGAGTGGTTATTTGGGAGCGGGTGGTTGGAACAGGAAAACTCTGCCTACAATTAACCCTGGGTCAGGAGGCTGAGTTAGCAACTAGTTGACAGAAAATAATCATAGCGCATCAGAGGGCATCTGAGAGAGACACAAGAAGTAGTTGGGTAGAATTTGGAGTGGTGCAGGCTTATCTGGTTTGGTCAAGCAGAAGCAGGAGTCTTTCAGAGATGCCAGCAAGGAGAGGTTAGCTTTTCGCTACTGAGCCTCTCTCTGAGCTTACAGGTTTTCAACCCAGGCTTTTAATCTCTGAGTCTCATTTATAAACAGAATGATTGATTTAGTTAAAGCTACCTTTAGTGGCAGCAACAGAGCTGGTGCCTTCAGGAACAGAATTCCTTCCAGGCTACAGCCTGAGCTGTCAGGCCACTGCTAGAGAAGCAGGCTAGTAACTGTAGAGTTGCAATTACTGGCTGAAATAAAACAACAGAAAATGGTGACTGCTTTTCTGAAGGAGCTTTACAGCCTTCGTATGACTTTAGTCACAAGATGGTTCTGACACACCTTGAATGTCTTGCATTTGATCCCAGCATGTGGTTGTTTGAATAGATATGGCCTCCACAGACTCATGTGTTTGAATGCTAGGCCCATAAAAAGTGACATTAGGAAATGTGGCCTTGTTGGAGGAAATGTGTCATTGTAGGGGTTGGCTTTGAGGTCTCCAATGCCCAAGTCACACTCAGTGCATGATACAGTCTCCTTCTGCTGCCTGCAGATCAAGATGTAGAACTCTCACTCCTTCTCCAGCATGATGTCTACCCACATGTGGCCATACTCCCAGCTGCCATGCTCCCTACCATGATGACAATGTACTAAACCTCTGAAACTGTAAGCCAACTACAATTAAATGACCATGGTCATGGTGTCTCTTCACAGTAATAAAACCCTAAGACGCAGCACTTGAGAGGCAGAGGCAGGTTGACCTCTGAGTTTAAGGCTACCCTTTTCTACAGAGCAAGATGCAAGTTCCAGGATAGCCAGTATGACACAGAAAAAGCCTGTCTTGAAAAACTAAAAAAAAGAGAAAAAGATAGAAAGAAAAAAGAGTCAGTAATAATTATCAACCAAGAATTTAATCCCTATAGGGCAGACTTACCCAAGAACATGAGACTGCTATAGTTCTCTAGCATCACATCCCTGTAGAGTGACCTCTGAGCAGCATCAAGAGCATGCCACTCATCCCAGGTGAAATCCAAAGAGATGTCCTCAAATGATACAGAACCCTGCAATGATACATTTCTTTTAAATGCTAAGTACTTAGCTTTGGGAACATAAAATCAGCAATTTACTATACTCTGTATGTTGTTTCCTCTGAAGGCTTGACAGGATGTGGAACCATGGGAGGGAACCTCAGTGACAAACTGTGTGGATTAAGTTGACATTCCCATTTTTGTTTTGTTTTCAAGTAGTCTGCCTGAGGTGAAAGGACCTGTTCACTATGGCTATATTATTTTAAGGGTGGGATTCTGAATTTTAAGAAAAGGAGAGAGGGAGTTAAGCATGCAAATATTCTGTGTTCCCTGTACTGTGATTATGGATCCAACATGACCAGCTATGTCAAGTTCCTGTCCCTGTAACTTCCCTGCATCAATGGACTATGCTCATAAACCCCTTTCTAAATTGCCTTTTTCAGGAAGAAACTAAGTGTCTTATAGAAGGTATTGCTTGAGTTGTATCATGGAATAAAATTAACATAAGTATCTTATCTGTGTTAATGCAGGGATTCAAGAATTTTTAAAAGTGTTTTCTAAGCAGTTATACTACAAACAAAATCACGCCCATCCTGAAGCCACTCCAGGGCCATTAAATCTGCCCATGTATTGAATGTCTTCAGCTCAGGTGACTTGAAGGAATACAGGTTGCCCCCTCCCCCCCATTGCAAGCTCTAGGAATAAAGGGATCTGGACACATGCAAATACCCCTGGATTCCAGAAAAACAAATGGTTTTAAATAGGCATGTAACCATGTCCATGGGCTGAAATCCCCAGGAGTAATTTTGAAAGGAACTTCCTGCTTATTCAACACAGCTGTAGAAATGGGTATGCATGCCTTTAATTCCAGTACTCTACTCAGGGAACGTAGAGGCAGGCAGTTCTCTGTGGGTTCTAGGCCAGCATGGTCTATGAAGAGAGATTCTATTTCAAAAACAAAACAAAAAACAGAGTACAAGTTTTTGAAAGGAAAAGGGTATGGCTAAGGGCAAACCCTCCTACGCTGTTGTAAAACATCTTTAATTATGTAGCACTGTTCTCAGTCTTGGTCAGAGAAGCTTGGTCACAGTCTGCAACACTTAATATAGACACTTGTAACTGATTAGAATGCTGAGAATAAGTGATTGTTGACTGCTCAGCAGTGTATGGCACACCTATTCTCATCCCCTCCAAGGCTCAGGGAACACCACTGAAGAGGGCATGAGAAGCAGTGTAAGGATTCAGGGATTATGCTGGCCTGACCCTGTCACCTGGCAGAATGCACTCAGGCAGTGCTCTGGTCAGCCCATGGTTCCTTGGGTACTAGTCTACATGCAGGTGCAAAGGACCCCCTAAAAGAAAGACCTCTACCCACTTATGCCCTTTTCCACTCCTCTTTACTGCAGACAAGACTTTTCCTGTCTTCCTCTTCTCTTCTGTCCTCTCTCTCTGTCTCTGTGTCTCTTTACCTCTTTTCTCTTTCCTTCCCCCTTCCCTCCCCTTTCTAATAAAACTTCTCACTTAAGCTTTGTCTGCCTGGCATGTTTGTCCCTCCACCTTCACCTGACATGCAATCCACTAAGATCGCCCTCATGCTTTTTTTTTTTCCGAGACAGGGTAGAAACTGTATTGTTTTGGAGGCTGTCCTGGAACTCTCTCTGTAGATCAGGCTGGCCTTGAACTGAGAGATCTGCCTGCCTCTGTCTCTGTGCTGGGATTAAAGCCCCCTCACGCTTTATCATAACAAGCAGTTCTGGGTATTGCACCCAGGAACTCACAGCTGCAGTGCCTACTTGCACATCAACAGTGAATGCAAGATAGGCAATAAGGCCTCATCATTCTCAGTGGAGCTTTAGGCAGTTAATAAATGTTTGAGGAGGGGATGTCATATTTCTCATTGGTGTGGTCACCAAATAAACCCTCCCTATTCAAAAACATCCTAATAAAATGTAGTAGACATCCAGACATAGCCATTTTATAAAATAACAGGTAAATTCTTTAAAATAAATTGCACAGGGGTGAAGTGCAACAATCAAAAGCACTGTCCACTCTTGTAGGGGACCAGTGTTCCATTCACAGCACTCACATGGCACGTCACAACTGTCTATAACTCTAGTTCAGGGGATCTGATGTCATCTTCTGGCTTCCAAGGCCATGAGGTACTCACATGATTCACAGATACATGAAGGTGAAACACACATAAAAATAATTATTTTTAAAATAAAAATTATGTCTCAGCAAGCTTGATGTCTTGAGTTCAATTCTTGGAACCTAATATGAAGGTAGAAGAGAATTGAGTTTACAAAAGTTTCCTCTGACCTCAACATTTCAACTGTGATACATCCACACAAATACATCATGTACACAGAAGACCCCCCCACACACAAATAATAAAAGTATCATGCAGTCAATTGTTGTTATTTGTCCCAGTTATCTTCAGCTGGTAGTCTATGAGGGAGTCTCAACTATGAGAATGTCCAGATCAGACTGGTCTGTGAGGAATTGTCTTGATTGTTGATTGATAAAGGAAAGTCACAGTCCACTGGAGACAGGTAATCTTGGGTTGTGTTAAAAGCTAAGCTAAGTTGAGTCAAAGAACAAGCTAGCAAGCAGCTTATTTCATGGTTTCTGGAAATGTAAATTAAAATAAACCCCTTTATTCACAAACTGTTTTGATTATGATGTTTGTCACAGCAATAGAATGGTACTAGAACAACATTTTAAAAAATTAGAATGTTGACTACAACACTATTAAGTCAAAAGGCAGATATGGTCATTTAAAATGATTCTTAGATGAAGAGTATAGAAGGTCATTCTCTCAACTGAAGGTTACCCAGCTGTTCTCCAAAGAGGCTGCTCATCCCATCTTAGACTGTTTTTGACCCAAAGACACTCCAAGAGCAACTTTGGGTACCTGGTAGTACTAACTGCCTAATTCTAGATAATTCTAATACCTGAGACCTGGAAGACATAGGCTGGGATGAGGACATATCACTCTGTAAAGTAAGCAAGAGTGAAGTTACAAACAAATGCATCCTGGTGAGGGTCATGTGCCTAGGTGAGAAGAGAGGCACAAAGATTGTTAACATGGAGTCAGGAAAGAATCTTCACAGATTACTTGTGTGAAATGTTCACAAACACAATTTAATCCCTCAAAATTTACTGCTCAAAATTGAGAGGAAAATAAGAGACTTAGAAATATACCATACAGAACAAAATGTTGATCACAATGTGGAAAGGGAAAGTTGCATGGGAATGCTTATAGGGTGGCAGAATTTTGTTTTTTGTTTTTTTGGTTTTTACGAGACAGGGTTTCTCTGTATTGTTTTGGATGCTGTCGGTCCAGCCTGGCCTCGAACTCACAGAGATCTGCCTGGCTCTGCCTCCCGAGTGCTGGGATTAAAGGCGTGTGCCACCACCGCCCGGCTAGGGTGGCGGAATTTTAAGAATTTGTTGGCAGGGTACTCATCCTGATTCTGCATCTCCATGATACTGGATAGGAGGTTGATGTGGGCACTGGATCTTTTTTGAGTAGTGAAAGGCTCTACTCAAAATGTGTCAGCAATAGGGCAATGCCTTTCCTTGCACCTTCCCCCTTCTCCCTTCTTCTCATTTTATGGGTTCCAGATACCTTCCCCCCACCACCTCCTCGAAAGGAAACTTGGAAACCACTCTCATTGTGAACAGTAGTGGAAAATGACTTTCCTCTGCTCCATGCAACAACCTGAGCCATTGTTTTTGGAGACTGTCACTCAGATATAGCCAGGATTCTTTTTTAAGGTTTTTAAAATTACTTTTAATTATGGAGCACATGTGCTCACAGAAGCAGGGAGAATTGGATCCCCATGAAGCTGAAGTTACAGGTAATTGTGAACCACTTGATATGGAACTGGGAATCAAACCTGAGTCCTCTGGAAGAACAATATATGCTCTTAAGTACTGAGCCATCTCTCCAGTCCCATATGGCAGAATTCTTGACTTCACTACAGAAAAAAAAACATTCAGGAAAAGCCTATATGAAACAGAGTTGGAATCTATCAATGCAATTTAAGCAAGAAGTTAAGACAAAGGAATGGAAAGGAGAGCACCCACCCACAAGTGATGTGGAGTCAAGCGACATCCTTAAGTTTCTTTAGATCAATGATAAACAGACAGACAGACAGGATTTTGAGAACTACTGACTTTAAGGACTAGTGACCTTGCATTTTAAAGGATCACTTAGGAAGTTAAATGAGCTAAGCTGCACTGGATAGGCTTATAGATGGAAGGCAAATCAAGGGCTGCAGAACTTTAGGTGTTTTTACTGTTATTAATTAATAGTACTGTTTGGGTGATGCCCAGAAAATTTCAGGTTTATGGTAAAGATGTAAGGTCATCCTTGTAAAAGGTCATGTACTCATAGGTTGTAAACACAATTCACTGCTATTTTCACATTCATATTTGAAATACTGTTATATAAGACTGTTGTCTCTACAAAGGCAACCTTCACAGGAAATCTTAATTTTTCTGGAATTCTTGATACTCAGCTGGAGAGAGACACCAGACTATAAAAGAACTCTTATGTCCCCTTAATTTTTCCTGGGGGGTGAGGGAGCTGGTATGTATGTGTGTGTGTGTGTGTGTGTGTGTGTGTGTGTGTGTGTGTGTGTAGGCTACAGGTTAACCTTATGTGCCTTCCTCAGTGTAAGTCCACCTTGTTTTTGAGACAGGCTTTCCTACTTTCAACATAGAGTTTGTTTACAATTAAGCCCAGCTTGTTGGTCTGCAAGCCCCAAAAATTTATCTGTCTCCACCAGCATTCTTATTTTTTTCCACCAGTATTCTTTTAAAGAACTATTACTTCTAATTATGTGTATATGTGTGTATGTGTAGGTGATTGCAGCTTCCCACAGACACTAGCAGTGTTGGATTCCCTGAAGATGGAGCTGGAGCTACAGGGAGCTGTGAGAAGCCCCACATCACTGCTGGGAACCAACTTCAGGTCCTCCGCAAGAGTGGCAAGCACTCTTGAGCCATCTCTCCAGTCCCCTCTCTCATTTCTTTTTAAGTGGTGTGTGTGTGTGTGTGTGTGTGTGTGTGTGTGTGTGTGTGTAGGGGGGAAATGGGAATATGGGCATTCATGTGGAAATTAGAATACAATCTTAAGTGTCAGTTTTTACCTTCCAACTTGAGACAGTCTCTTTCACTGCTTTTCTATAAGATATTCCAGGATAGCTGGGATTTTTCTGCCTGTGAAATTACAAACACTCACTACATTCCCTGTTTTGATGTAGATTCTGGGGGTTTGAACTTGGGTCCTCACACTTTCATGCCAAGTACTCTACATTAAGCCATCTCCCCAGTTCTTCCCTCATCTTACCATGGCCTATATTTCGACACTCAGATCTCCGCCAAAGCTCCTTCTCCCTCACAATTTACAACCCCTCTCAGATCTCCTCAAAATCTCATCCCTCAGCTGCAAGTTCCTTCATGAGGGGTGAAGACTTCATTTACCTATGGGTATATGGTCAAATATTTAAAATGTAGTTAGAGATTATGTTGGTTCAGCAAAGTGGCAGTTGTAGGCTCTCCTCCAAAATCTATGACTTCAATAGCCCACGGTAGTTGTCTTGGTTTCCAGTATTAGGCAGAGTTTCCCTCAACATGCACAGCTGTGGAGTCAAAGCCTAACTAATAGATCAACAACACAACTCCTTCACCCTAGGTTCAGGGACCATTGCCACAGAGGGCACAGAAAAACTATCAGATCTAGAGAAACAGAGTTTGCTGTGAGACTGTGTCTCCTAGGAATGTCATAAGCTATATCCATGAAGTCTCACCAACATGGCTGCCTAAATATGACCTGAAAAAGGACAACACCAACAGACATGCTAACATGGACAGGGAAAATCTGTGGGGGCTTTACCACCAGACAAATAACTACAGACAACAACAAAATGCTGAGAGTAGGAGAAGTTGTCTTTCCCAGGGAAGAACACACCAATTGGTCATCCAATTCCAAATGGTCAGTCCTGAACACACAGATATTCCAGTAACATTACACAGACTGAACAGGCTGCATTATGTGTTTGGGAACACACAGTAACAATTAAAGAAAAAAAAAGACATAAACTGAAAGAAAGCATGGCAGAAATGAAATGGAAGAGTTTGGAAGGAGAACAGGGGAAATTACAATTTCAAGAAATAATTACAATTTCAAGAAATAAAATTAACTTAAAAATCTCATCCCTTATACAGCTTTCCCTCATTCTCTTCTCCCTCAGAACCATTTCTCTTAATTAACCTCAGACTGATACAATGTCCTCTCCCTCAGACTCTCACCAAGTATCTTCTCTCAGACACCCTTCCCCCAACTTTGGTCCCTCACAACTATTTCTCTCCAGTTACTCCTCAGACTTCGGCAGGCTACATCCCCTACCTGAGACCATATTCTCCTTGATAAATCCCTCATTTCTTCCCTCACACCGTCTTTCCCCTTTACATCTAGAAGGCTTGTAACCCTTTTCCCCCATAGACCTCCAAAGATACTTTCATCCTAGTCCACCTTCATATACTGGGGACCATCAGCATGGTCTCTTCCAGCCATTAGATGTTTTCCTGAGCCTAGTGTAGCCAGTCTTCTGCAGTCCCATGATAGTCAAGCTACTGCTTCAGGGAGACAAGCTATGGCAAAAACACTCCACTTCTGTCGCAGGCCAGACTTGTCAAAAGAGACCTATTTTCAAGGGGAAAGAAAAAAAGAAGGACAGGATGAGGGGAGACAAGAGACACAGGGAGAGATCTGCAGACATAAGAAACACAGATGAAGAACCAGAGGATCCATGTGCCCCTGGCCAAGTTTAGGGTACAGTTCCCATTCCTGCTCCCCTGATTCCTACTGTCTTTCTTTCCCTCTGTCCCCTGCCCTAGACTGAACTGCCCAGAACTTCACAGCAGAGGATTGTTCAGGTGAAATCCTGAAAAGCTCCCTGTAGAACACCTGAATCAGTCTTTTGAGTCATGTCCCCCAAACAGCAATTTCAGCTGCCCTCCTGCCAAGCCCTCCCAGATGCTAGAAGTAGGGAAACAGGAACCAACCTCCACCACCACCCCAGGGCCAGTCAGCTGATGGGCGTTTTGATCTGTGTCTCTCACCATGCCTGTACCCCGGTCTACAAGTCTCTTTCACTGGGCCATCCAGATTCCTTAAATACCACCTGTGTGCAATGAGTAAGGTGCTGGGACCCCATCAGGCCAGACCCATTCACAGACTCTGTGCACACCTGCTGGCCCCTAGATTCATCACAAGCGGAAGCAGGGGTGACAGAAGAGCAACTAATGCCTGGGTGCCTCTCAAGTGCCTGTCTCTGCTGTGGGTTCCTCTCTTTACTTCAACGAAAACAGGACCCAGTGCCAACCCTGATGGTGCAAGTATATAATCTCATCTACTTTAGAAGTCACACACCTAGATTTAGAGAGTCAGATTACAAAACCACAAAGACTCGCAGAAGTGCAAGCTGAGCCCTGGGCGGAAGGGACAGCGAGGGTACGGGAAAGCTATGGCGGGGACGCTGGGTGAGATCACCTTCGAATGTCGCTCTCGGCCGCCCCAGCCAGGCTGATGTCCAGTGAGGGGCAGGATAGGAAGGCCCAGAGGGGCAGGGCGGGAAGGTGCGGCGGGCCCACACAGAGCCCAGGTCAGGACGTCAAGCTCACCATTTCCTGTTCCTGGACCCCGAGTCCACAGTGCAGAGCTCCCCGCAGCAGCGAGTCACTGGTGACAGGACCAGGCAGAGAATTCCAAGTACCTAGGCGGAGAGGAAGCCCAGGACAGATACGAACAGGGTTCGGTGGGTGGGGTTCGGTGTGTGTGTGTGTCGGGGGTGGGTGTAGTGGTGGTAAGACAACCTTAGTTCCGAAGAAAGCCCGCCGGTCCTCTGTCAGGGAATCTGATTGGAAACTCTTAATAACAGTGCTTTCCATTGGACAGGGCTTCAGGCAGTCTTCTCCAGAGAAGGGGGGAAGGGAGGAATTATGGGAGAGGGGTAAGGGGAATGGTGGGGGTGCAGTTGCTCACAAAAGCCAGAAGAGGTCGTAGGATTGCCTCTGTATCATCCAGTTCTCTCTAACCGATACTTCAGGGCCTGGCCCGAATTAATTGAAGATTAGGGTTAAACCTTCTACATAAAGTTATGTCAGCTAATGATTGATATTCAAATGTTGCTTTTCATAAATGAAAATGATAATCAACCTTCATAAAAATCAGACACAGAAGCTGTGATATTTTGGGTTGATGTGTATTTGTACTGCCATATTCAAGTTAGAAGCAGGATTCTTTTTATTTTCTAATAGCTGGTGCTGTCAAATGTGAAATGCTTTGCTTTTTAAAAAGCCTTACAGTGATGGGAGAGATGCTTTAGCTATGTTGATGGCTAGCTTTATGTTTAACAATTTAACCACACCCTGTTTCGAAAAAAGAACAAACAAAAACAAAAACAATTTAACCACAAATCAAAATTGGACATCTAAATGTTAAGGTTGTTGCCTGGTCTTGTAGAATTTTAACAAAACTGTTGTTTGTGCAAGATGGCCTCAAAATTATCCGCTGTTTCTGTTTCTGTAAGCGAAAGTCTGTTTTGCTGGTAATGACCAGAACAGCTGAAAGACATCTGCTTGCAAAACAGAATACAACTTTATGGTTTTTGCCTTTATGAATGCCTGACTAATGTGACTGGGATACATTTGGGAATCCTGTGTCCTGGAGGAAGCCTTGGTGACAGTATCTGCCTAAAAGCCCCTTCTTTGTTAAAAATATATTAAAGGTTCAGACAGGTGAATCTCTGAATGATCACAGAGCCATAACAGGCTCAGCAATCAATAGTGTGTATTGCTATAGCAGAGGATGGAGTTGGATTCTCAGCAGCTCACAACTTCCTGTGACTCCAACTCCAAGGGACCCAACACCATCTTCTGGCTTCTAGGGGTACATGCTTATACTGATGCAGGAGAAATGTGAGTGAAATGTAATGGGGAAATAAAAGTCCCCAACTAAGCGAGGTGACAGGAAGCCACCAGCAGTTCCCACAAGAAGGGGACTTAAGCTCATTCCTACCCCACTGTCTTAAGAAAACTGGGAGCTGGATGGCCACCTGACCTGCCAGTCATAAATCCCCCTGACCATGGATTACAAGGCCAGAAGCTTGGACCCCAGCAGCTGTAACAACATCTGCAGCTACCCGGTTGTCTTCAGAAGACTGGGAACCAGATAGCCTCTTGGCCTACCAGTCATAAAAGTAGCCCCTTGCCCACAATCACAGGATGTGCTCTGGCCATGAACCCCTAGACTACAAATGTGCCAATTAATTTTACCCAACCAGGTGGCAGTTATTTCCTTCCTCAAGGCCCTTCCTTTCATGATGACCTTGTATGGGAACTTTGTGTGCTAAGTAATCTCTGTAACCATGGGACCCTTGCAAACTGAGGCTTCAGTCTCAGGACTCCTCCTCCCCTTTCTTTTCTTGACTGGTGGGCATTTCCTTTCCTCTACCATGGAAAGAGATCTGAGCTGGCCAGCTTGAATAAAAGAAACTTTTTGCTTTTGCATCAGAAGTGTCAACCTCTTGGTTTAGTCTCTGGGATTCTGCAAACCTGGCACAACATGAGTAAAAGTCATACCATAAAGGATTTATTAATAAACTTGAAAGTTACACAAAGTTGAATTCAGGTAAAGGAGTTCTGTCTCCAATATGACTGGAAAACAAGTAGTATACTAAACAGGCTTGTTAGAGACTCTGAAAAAGAAAAATTTGTACAATTGAAGTTTAGGGTTGTTGAGAAAGGTTATATTGTTTGTTCCCTGAGACTGACCTCTAGTCTGGCTCCATACCTATAACAGAGGGTAGCAATCTTGACTTACAACCAGCTATGTGGTACATACCCGCTCATCCCCATATCAAAGAACATCCCTCTAAAAGAAGCTCAAGGGAACACCACAAGGTCACAGCCACCATTAAGTTCTGTTCTGTCATTAAGTTCTGAGCTCTTATCAGGAAAAGCATAATTCTGCTAACTGGGCAAGATTTTTAGAAAGAAAAACAATGGTGTATTTTTAGTAATTCTGGCAGACACTTTTTAAAACATTTTTTTAAATTTTAAATAGCTTATTTTACATGTCAATCCCAGTTCCCTCTCCCTCCCCTCCTCCCGCACCCCCCCACCATCTCACCCATCCTCCTACCCTATTGCCAATTCTTTCTGCATAGGGGATATCTAGAGTCTATCATTTCATTCAGGGTAGGGTCCAGGAACTTCCCTAAGAGTCCAGCCAGAGAGAGCAACCCTCTTTGTGTTATGGACACACGATGTCTGTTAGTATTCGAGGGATAAACACTGATCCACTGCTCAGGACCCCATAGGTAGCCCAGGCATCCTCACTGACTCTCACATTCAGGGGGTCTGGATTGATCCCATGCTGGCCTCCAAGCTGTCGGTCTGGGGTCCAAGAGCTCTCCCCTGTTCAGATCAGCTGTCTCTGCTGGTTTTGCCAGCCCATTCTTTGCCCATTTGCTCTTCGCTCCTCTCTCTCTGTCGCTGGGTTCCTTGAGTTCTGTTCAGTATTTAACTGTGGGTGTTTGCCTCTGCTTCCATCAGTCACTGGATGAAGGCTCCAGGATGGTTATAGACATCAAGTACACTATCAGGAATAGGCATTTGAGGTGGTCTCTACACTATTGCTTAGCTTGCCAATTGGTGTCATCCGTTTAGATCACTAGAGGTCTCAATGGTGCCTGATCTGTCTTCTAACCTATGATTCCCTCTTCCCCCTATCCTACCTCCCCAGTCGACCTTCCTGTTCCTCCATGTCCTACTCTCTCTTCTACTTCTTCCCCTCTCTATTTCCCAGGTCCCCCTCCCCCCCAACCCTCGCCGTGTTCCCCATCTGTTCAGAGGATCTTGCCTCATTTCTCTTCTCTTGGGTACCATATATATCTTTTAGGTTCTTTCCTGTTTCCCAGACTCACTGGCAGACACTTTTTTGGGAAATCTGAAGGCATCTTTGATGGGGGGGGGTGGGAGGGCTGCGTGAGGAAGCATGGAGGACTGCAAGCTGCTGTAGCTGTTTTCTGCAGAGTGAAAAGTATTTAAGAAACAAACAAAAAACCAAACAGCAACAACAACAAAAATGCATCACTTTTCTTTACCCTGTATTTGCACTATCATTCCTGCCTTCCCAGACACACCCATTCATCCCCACATGTCTGGAATGATTCCACAGATGCAGAGAAAGATGCAGGGCTCAGCTGGTAAGCTGCCATGCCCGAGGACCCAAGCTTGAGCCCCCAGAATCCACATCATGTCTTGCATGCTGTCCCCTGACCTCTGCATGGGTGCCTGCACATGGAAACTAAAGAGTGCAGGACTTCAAATCTCTTTCAAATTGGTCAACTTCCCACTGGCAGATTTTCTCACTTGGCAATCACAACAAACAATCCTCCAGTTCATATAGCATTTCTCGGACTATAAGTCACAGTAACTCATGAGCCTCACAGTTAACCAAGCAACAACCTACACTCCCACTAAATGTGGCCCAGCCAGCTGCATGTCTCCAGTTAACATACAGGTCTGGGGAGGTCAAAGGACCTTCCTAAATGCCCCCATTGCCCAGGTTTTTATGAAAAACAAACTTGGGGTGACATTGTTTCCCCCAAGATCCTTTGGCCCCTTAGCTCTCCCTGGTCTAAAGACAGAGGGAGGGGGATGGTGGGAGGATTAGTGCAAGTTAATTGGCCTGAGAGAGGAGATGACAATCCAGAGAACTGGCTGGAACTAAGGTCGAAGTAACCCAAAAGCTCACCTTCAAGCGCAGAGCCTACTTCCCACAGATTGGCAACCACTCTGTCTCCACTCCACACCCAGATGGTGACAGCCTTTGAGGCAGCTCAGGCTAGCACGTGCTTAATGCAAGTTCTGACTGGCCCTTCCCCAGTAGACCCGGAACAGCTGTGTGTCCAGAGAACATTGGCATCCTTCTACCCCTCACCCAGCAGCTGCTCAGAGGAAAGTTCATCCACACCCCCCCATTAACTTGTACTCTTATTATTTTTAAGATTAAAAAAATTATGTGTGTATGCACAGAGGTCAGAAGAGGGCATGGGGTCCCTTGGAGTTGTATTAATTTCAGTGCTGGGAGCCAAGGCAAAGTCCTCTGCTAGACTCACGGCCCATGGCTTATAAGCAGGAATCAATTTTTCCAGATAAAGACTCATTCTTACTAGTGAGCACAGAACCTGGGATATTCACAAACCCCACTGGGTGTTTCTAAGCAGCATGTATTCAGGGTCCTCACCTTTTAAAAATTTAGCCTGGAAATTGTGCTCGGCATTTACATATTTTTAAAATTTCACTGCAAGCTGACAATCATAATCTGGTGTATATATGAAGTACAAAATAGCATTAAATATATTTGTTGTGAGATGACTAAGCTAAATATCATTTTTGAATATTTATGTCATGGGGGTGAATTTGACATATATCTTTAGCAAATTTTGAAATCCTTTTTGGTTCCCACTTACAGACTCAATGTGCCCAGCTGCCTCTCACTCCTGCCACTATGCCTTTCCCATCAGGACAGAATGAATATTCCCCTCACATCATGAGCCACAATGAATTATATCTCACTAGAGTAACTTCTTGTTGGGTATTTGGACACACCAAGGAGAAAAATGACTAATATGGACTCTGAGGAAAGTCATCTAAGGTATATACATGCTAGTGTAAGATAAGTGGCCAACAGAGGATCATTTAGAATTGCATTCTGGGCTGGGTGGTGGTAGTGCTTGCTCTTAATCCCAGCACTCAGGAGGGAGAGGCAGGTGGATCTCATGAGTCTGGTCTGTAAAGTGAGTT